ACAGAAGGCTTCCTCCTAGAAAACTCAAATTACTTGCCTTGCCAGTTGAATCCTCAGTGCTGTACGTGGATGGTATCGCTCCAACTTCCCTATCAACTCAAATAAGTTTGGAAATATCAGCGTAATAAATGAAACTGTGATTGACACAGCGTTCTAAACAACTTCATCTTGTATCCATTGAAACGTGGCCAAAAAGCAAGAAAAACTGACTTACTTGCTTTATGAATGTGTCAGTTTCTCTTATTTGGCTCACAGCCAGGATAGCCCAAACTGAAAATCCTAACATAATACACACTAGCAAATTAGCGAATACCCTTAGAAGGATTTGCAGACATCGATATTTTCGTTTCATATTCACCGCATACTCAGCTATAGCCTCCTAAAGCAAAATTTTTGGTGTATCATCAATAAGTAAAGGTAACAGTAAGTCCACAAGATTATGTTTCATCAAAACTTACCCGAAATTTGATAACATTAGCCATATGCACATTGCCAGCTGTTTCTGCATTTCCTATCGTGAAATCCCAGCCCGTAAATGTTTTCCAATTAAATACATATTGCTCAGTTTTACCCGATGATAATTTGCTCGTACGAGCATTGGAAGCCATTCTGAAACAGACACCATCTTACGATTCATTTACAAGATGCAATTCTTCCACAGATGTTTTTTATAAGCTTGCACTACAAATACATAGTTTGTTCCTCTGTAAAACATTCATTAAGCATTGCACGAAAAAAATTAAAAGTGGCAACTTTGATCATCCTAAAAACAAGACTAAGTCAATGTAACATTGTTTTGCCAGCGGATAACTAAATCTATACCACAGCCCACTAGTCCTAGATGAGAAGCGTATTACAAGTCTGTCCAAAGCTCCTTAGTCTCGTAAATCATTCCGTCTCTCTCCATTAAGATAATCGCATTAGGGCCAATCTTACTTCACTGCAGAGGAGGTTCCTTAAATGCTACACAAATCTGCTTAATACTTGACTTTGTTAATATAGGCCGCTTACACTGCACTGAGTTGTCTACGCTTTTACCCCAGTTGTACAAAGTTTATTAGGTAAATTCCTGATCTTTACATGGAATTAGTTAGATTGACGTCAAAAGTATTGATAACCTCTACTACTCATAATCTGGTACGGAAGGAACATGGCTAACACTAACATTTGCAGGTTTTTTTTATAAATTTATCTTTAAGATGGTGTTACCCTTTTAACAAAAGCGGTATATCCTTATTTTCGATTGTCCTTAACTTCGAAGGCCACTTTCGGAGTGGAACTGTATCGTATGTTAAACACTTAAAAAAAAGTTCAGCAAAGGGTAGCGGTTATAATTGGCAGACTTTTCCGATGCATAAATTATACAAATATCCCAATTTGTTGGGCCTGTGACAAAGCCCAATCATTTTTAGCTTCGTGCTCTATACGCCACGTTGATTTGCCAGAACTTTACAATATAGAGATTTACGTTTACACACTCTGTTGTAAACATTGCTAGCACTGCACAGGTCATTATGAAGAAAAGAATGATCTGCTGGCTATGTGTTTCGCAATTTTCGGTTATCATTAAGACTGTATCCATACTTCAGATCGGCCGATCTGAATCAGCCGATCCTTATGAAGTATGGACTTACCCTAAGGACACATCTGCACTGGGCTCTAATTGCGTGCAGTTTTCAATTTGTAATCTTTACTACCTTCCAAGAAATGTACAAGGTGTCTACTTTGTTTTGAAATTATAATGAGACGGAGCCATCTAAAGATATAAATCTGCAAGGCAGAAAATTTTGAAGAATTGGGTCTAGGGAGATTCTGTTAAGCTTCAACGAAATTCAATATCAAATTCCTCTACTATCCATACACTATCATGTAGCAGGTATATAGTTACAACTCCTTTCTTGAGAAGCTCAGTATTTATGAAAATATCTTTAATTGTGTTATCAGCATGTATATAATGTGATAGAAGGGAAAAATTGTACGATTCATCCGCCTCCCGTAGTATGCCCTTATCTGCATGATTTAGTTTGGTTATGAGTAGGTTTAAGTAGGAAGGAAAGATTTCTGATTCATTGATTTCAATATCAAGCATCCCACCCTTTTTTCCTGCAGCATTTTGGTATGTCCACTGTATGGAATTAACTTACCTAACACAATCAATATAGTGCGCTATCTGATAAGTTACTTATATCATATACTCATTCTTTTTATAGCAATTACAGGATTAGTCAACGTCATGTTTTCGTGGGATTATGGTAAATATATGTAGTAGCAAATAGACGCCCACGTTTTCGCTGGCTACAGTATGTCTACCGTGAAAACTACCGCGAAGTACTACCACAAAAATGATGACAAAATTCGAATACATTGTGTCAAATATATAACTACGAGTAGTGCAACGATTACTACTTCAAATTACTGCGATAACCGTCATGATCCGAAAGGACAATAAGAACTAGAATGCATGCTTTCGCAATGACGAACAAACTTTTATTCTACAAGTGTTATCTTTAGGTTGACCCCACAATTATCATGATGAGGTTTATATCCTACGGTATTTTCCATTGAAGAGGGTTTACGGAAATAGTTTTCATACTACTTAAAACCTTAGGGAAATATAGTGCGCCTCC